TGTCTTCAGTTATTGCTAGAAAGTGGTTTGTCCCCAAGGGAAACTGGCCTTTTGGCTCCCTGCAGTTAGAAACCATGGGCCTTAAGAATTCAGATGATCAGGGTTGGAGAGATGGCTCAATGGTCAAGAGCACTGACTGTTCTTCCAGAGGACCTGAGTTCAATTCCCAGCACCCACATGGCAGCTCACAACTGTCTGTAGCTCCCAGATCAGACACCCTCACACAGGCATGCATGTAAGCAAAACACCAATGCACATAAAATAAAAATAAATTAATTAAAATAAAAATTCAGATGACTCACAGGCATGGTGGCACATGCCTTTAATCCCGGCACTCAAGAGGCGGAGACAGGCAGATCTCTGAGTTCAAGGCCAGCCTGGTCTACAGAGCCAGGGGTGTGAGGGGGTGGAGGTGGGTAGTGGAGGGTGGGGGTGGGGTGGGATTCAGATGAGTGTGTTTGTTCTGACTATGTGAGGTGTCTGGGTAAGAATTAGAACCTTGGCAGAGTAGTCAACAGACTGGGTTTTTCATTAACAAAAGTCACGTGTCTGACAAAATGATGCTGCACGTCAAGGAGCTGGGCAGCAACTCACGTCATAAAGCATTTGCTGTGGGATAAAGCATGCAGCCCTAGCTCAGAGCCCCAGAACCCACACAGAAGTGTGTATGTGCGCATGCGTAACGAAAGTAATTATAAAATAAGAGGCCATCAGGCAATGGAGGGGGGTGGAGAACAGTGGAGGGGGAGAGCAGGGTGGAAATAATACAAACACACTGCATTTGTGTGAAATTCACAGAGAAATCAAAAATTAATAAAAAAGTAAGAATGCTTGTTTCTTGACTCGCCTAATAAAACCAATGTGAATCCTTTACAGTTGTAGCAAATAAATCTATTTCCCCTTCCCCACCCCCTTTTGCTTCAAGACATTGGAACAAATGAGTAAGATAGCGGTCAGGAATTCAGACAGGTTTCCTGTCAGCAGCCTGCTGGGTATTCCGTAATTACCAGTTTCTCTTTACTGGAAAAAAAAAAAGAAACGGCAAAGTGTTTTACGTTTTTACGTGACTGGTAAAAAAATTCTGATGTCTTGGGAAACATGTACATTTGATTTTTAACAGCCTCCCCCCCCCCCCCCCCCCCGCCATCTCTCTCACTATGTAGTCCAGGGTGGCTCGGAATCCGCGGTCTTCCTTTTGGCCTCCCTGGGCTTCCTGACAGGTACCATGGCCCTCAGCTCCTTTCTCTTTGGTGAGGAATGCAAGCAAGACCTCTGTACCCATGCTCGCTCTGCATGACAGCCTGAGCTGGGTAGTGACACATCCAAGGCGTGCTCTGGCAGCTGCTCTGCTTCCAGTGGTCTTTGGCTCAGAGGGCTTGCACACACAGGGTTTCTACTGGGAGGCACACACAAGGCCTGCTGTGCTGGGGGGTGTGTGTGTCGGGGGGGTGGTGGCAGGGCCTTCACCTCATTCCAGCTGTGGCACAAGGTGTGCGGTGTGTGCCTGGCACCTCTCCAGCCTCCCTTGGCCTGGTCCTTTGCCTCGAGCAGCTCCCAGAGGTGTTAGGGACATCACTAGGACACTCCCTGCCTTCCACACCTGTACCCACTTCCCTGCTGTAGTTTTATGGGCCCAGGAGGAGGCAGGTTTGACACAGGGACACAGTCTCTGCCGACAGCTGCAGACGAGCCAGCTCCCCAGACAGTAAAATGTAAAGAGGGGGGAGGGGCGACCTTTGAAGTTTGCAAAAAAGCATGACTTTGACACTTCCTTTTCCTCTTCACTGGGTGTCCCAGGTATTATGCTGAGAGCAACTGCCGGCTAACTTTACAAGGAAGGATGCATTTCCGTCCCCAGGGTCTGGGTCCTTAGTGTTTAATATGGCTCTGAATGGCTGTGCACGTCACAGGAGGCCCTGGGCTGAGCATATGGGAAGAGTTGGCTGGAGGTTCTAGAGCAGGACCCAGGGACATCCATGCACTATGAATGTGCATACATGTGTGCAGAGAGCACTCTGGGTTCATCTCTAGGCTTTTTGTCTGTGAGTTTCTGTTCCGTCTCTTCCCTAAACTTAGACAGATACTGTGTTGCTGGATTTCTTCTCTTAATATCACAGCTCAGTTTCAGTCTCTGGTTGATGCCTTTTCTTCCACTCTGTTAGCAGTATTTTCCTGTTTATAGAAGAATTCCAGGAGTTTAGCTTTCTGTCAGTTTACTATATAATGTCCCAGAAGAGAAAGAGGGAGATAGTAACAGACAGACAGACAGACAGACAGATAGATGAGAGAGAGAGATATAGATAGATGATAGATAGATAGATAGATAGATAGGTAGGTAGATAGATAGATAGATAGATAGATAGATAGATAGATAGATAGATAGACAGACAGACGGATGGAGGGAGGGAGGGAGGAAGGGATAGGGAGAGAGAAAGCACACCTGACCAAACAACTTACTTCTGGGGAAACTGCTAACGTCAAGGACCTGTGGGTTAAATCCGTGCACCTGGCAGGTTATGTGGCATTAGGAAGCTGCCGAGCCCCTCATTGTCTGTCCCACCCTGTGCCAAGGGATGGGATGCTGAGCATTACATATGGAAGCATATGGGGAATGATCTGCAAGCCCAAAGCCAGGGGCGCCCCCTCTATTAGCCTCTCCTTCATTCTTCAGTCTGCCTCCACACCCCCTTGGTGACACCCGCAGTGTAGGTCACCTCCCTGTCACTGGAGCACAATACCCTGGCTAGAGCAACCGAAGAGAGGACTTACCTTGGCTCGTGGCGTGAGGATTTAGTTCATTTTGATGGGGAAGACATGAGAACAGGAGCTGTTAGGATTGGCTGTGGCCTGGGGACCCTACTCACCTCTGGGCATCCTTCTAGTGTGCTCAGGACTTTTGCTTGTTTGTTTCTGTTTATCTCAACCGTTCGGGTGTACGCTCACTTTGCTCAAGCACAATTAGTGGGGAAGGATGTTGCTGTTGTGCCTTTGTTAGCATTCGGGCGAATCATACAGGTGCATTCTGGGTGCTCTAGCATCTTCCGCTGTTTTGCCTGCATGCGTCTCTGCTACCAATGTCACAAAGACTTCATTAGCGTAAGCTGTTCTGTTGGGAAGGGCCATGGCTGTCATTTTTACTCTCTTCCAACCTCCCTCCCCTTTTCTCACTTTTACTTTTCTGTACAGATGTTAGAGTACATCGGTCTATATTTATTAAGATTTGGCAGAATCTTTTAACAATTATTTGTGTATTTATTGTGTGTGTGTGTGCAAACATGTGTACACGTGTGTACGTGCCCCAGAATGCATGTGGAGCTAACAGGACAACCGTCAGGAGTTGCCCTGATTTGAGACTGGGTCTCCCTTGTCTTTCTGCTACTGTCCTGTGTATTCCAAGCTCCCGGGCTTACACCTCTGTCTTCCTGTCTCCACCTCCTATTTTCCCGAGGAGTATTGATACTACACGTGTGACCCGCCGACATGGGCACCGCTGACTTGTGACCCACTGACATGTGACCCGCCGACATGGGCACCGCTGACGTGTAACCCGCTGACATGTGACCCGCTGACATGGGCACCGCTGACATGTGACCCGCTGACATGGGCACCGCTGACATGTGACCCGCTGACATGTGACCCGCCGACATGGGCACCGCTGACGTGTGACCCGCTGACATGTGTACTGCTGATGTGTGCACTGCTGACATGGGCACCGCTGACATGTGACCCGCCGATATGGGCACTGCTGACGTGTGACCCACTGACATGTGACCTGCTGACATGTGACCCGCTCATATGTGCACTGCTGGCATGGACACTGTTGACATGACCTCTTTGCCTTGGTTTTGGTCCTAACGGAAAGTCTCGTGTAGTTCAGGTTAAGTGTGATGTTGGCTGTGGACTTCCTGAGAAGGTTCCCTTCTATTCTCAGTCATGAGTGGGTGTAGAGTTTTCCATATGATTTTTGGGTATCAGTTCACTTCCGTGTCTACTGAGACAGCAGAGTCCGCTGACTGACACTTGGATATTGGACCACCTTTGTCTTCCTGGGAAAACTGCTCAGTTGCTTTCATACATTGCTGGCTTGGATTTGTGTGTGTGTGTGTGTGTGTGTGTGTGTGTGTGTGTGTGCGCGCGTTCACATCTTTGAGTGTAGTAGTGAAGCTATTTCCTTGAAGTCTGACGTGGCCTATCATGACGCCGAGTTCCTGTGACAGCCTGCAGAGGCCCTTGGTCTGGGACACACGTCAGATACACACAGGGCGTTCCTGACACCTGCATTTGCAGTGGTGGAGATGGGGCTCAAGGATGTGGGGAGCAGTCGCTCCTCTTCCATCTTCTGCAGTGTGTAACATCTTGTGTCAAAATTTCCATAAGGCCTGGACACAGTTGTTCCATGACACCACCCGGGTTGGAGGCTTCCACTTGTCTGTCTCTTTAATTATGACCACCAAGCCTGTATTTCTCATCTTGGGTGAATTGTGGAAGTTGTGGATGCTGAGGAATCGTCTGCTTCCCCCAGGTCACCACATTTGTTCAAGTTGGGCTCTGCTCCTGTTGCTTTAGGTTTTTCTGTGCTTTTCGTCCCCAGCCCCAGCCCCAGTGTGCCAGCAGTGTTCGTGTGTGTGTTGGCGTGGTCCACGGAGCCTAGGATGCTCTTCCCTCCTCCATCCCTCATCTCTCACTCACTACATCCTGCTTTCCTTTGGATGTTCCTGGTGGCTGTACCTCAGCCTGTACGATGGGTTTTGGCCATGTCACCGACTTTCACTGAGTGAGGTGACAGACACCATGTTCACAGCGGGAACAGCTTTCACAAAGGCTCCTGGCCACGTGAGGCTGCCAAGTCCAGAGGTCAGACCCCAGCCTGGAGTCCTGCACTGAGGACAGGGCTGTCATGAGGTGACCGAGGTGGAGGGGCCAGGGCATGGCTTCAAGGTTTGACGAAAAGGATCCATTGGAGAACATTTGCAACTAGATCTCCTTTGCTTTCTTCCAAGAGCCTTCTCTCTCGACTTACGGAATGGAGAAAACGGTGCCAACAGTGTGCAGTGGCCCCGAGACTGCCCCACGAACAGGGGGAGGTGAGTGTGTGAACATCAGCCTCACCTTTGGTGACCTCTGTCCTGTTGGTCCTTCCAAACAACTTTAGCCCTGGCCAAGGGTCCAGGTCTCAGTGAGGAATCACAGTGGGTAGATAAATGGTTTCCTATCTCAGGCCTAGGGGCTGGCATATCCCCTCCAGCTTGGGCGGTCCCCCTTCCCATCCTTCTTTCCTCCTTAGCTTCACGCTTTACCATTTCTAGGTCTATTTTCTTCTTTTTGGATCACTTTCCTCCCATCTAGCAGTCTATGCTTTGGGATGGACTTGTATATAGTTTTTGTTATTGTTCGTTGTTTCTTAAGCAATTTCTGGCATGTGGTGTAGCCCACTGTTTGCATATAGGTTTAGCATGCTTGAAGTCCTGGGTTTGACTCTTAGCACTGAAAGGGGGAAAAACTAGATAAATATACATATTTCCCCACACTTTTTAAAGAGTATTACAATTCATAACCGTATTTTGGGGTTTTTAAAACACTACACAGCACACTGGGTGCTTCTTTTAGCTGTTATCAAAATGACATGTTTGGTCTTTAAGTGTCAGGCTGGTGCAGGGCTCTTGGTGTTGTCCTTTGAGAGGAAGGTTGAACAGCCTAAGTAGTGACATCACACCTACAGGAAGGTGGCCCAGAAAGGCCAGGGTGGGATGTCCACCCGTCACAGGCATGAGACAGTAGGTGTTACCACTTAACCGTCATGGAACATAGGACAGTGTTCAGCTCCTGCACGTGGCATCCTTGCCTGTCTGTACCAGAGTGGTACAAAGGGGTTTGTATCTCCATGCTTGAGAAATTCAAATGCTAGCTAGCTACAAGATGCATAGCTAAAGTGAGCAGAAGAGATGTGTTCACGGCGAAATGCATCTTACAGAGCAAGATTGTGTCTAAGACAAGGACGGATTCCCAGAGCAAGAGATATCTCAGTCGGTTGGATCAGATGCATTCTGCCTCCCTGGCTAACATGGAATTCTCCAGAAGGTAAGCCCCGCCCCCTGCAGGCACCGTCTTGGGGGCTCACTCTGAGTCCAAACTCAAAATCTCTCTGCCTTGACTCCCCAAAGGCTGGGTTTATGGTGTGAACTGCCATACTCACGGATTATTTTCCTCTTCCCTTCCCTCTCCTCCCCTCCCCTTCTCTCAGGGACCTCCCTCCCTCCCTCCCTCCCTCCCTCCCTCCCTTCCTTTCTTTCCCTCCCCACCACCTGGCCAAGCTAGGCCCACTGAGCTAGGGCCAGCCCTGGGTGTCTATGCTCTCGTCACCTTCTTCTTTCTCTTCACGCAAACACCAAGGAATTGTCGCTACCAAACAGCCTGCAGGCTGCCTCTTAGACAAGGGAGAGCATAGAACCAATCATGAGGGAAGAAACTGGGGTAGTATCAGATGGGGAAGACGGCTCTGCCACCCTGTGAGGCCATGAAGGAGCTCCCGCCCAGGACTGGGCCACTGAAGCTCCTTGGTGTGAGCTTGAGTCTCGTTCCCGCTCCAGCAATGAGTATGATGTTAGCAGACTTCCCTGGGAGCCACCATGGCCTCAGCGTGTGCCATTCCCTAGTGACCATGCTGCTTAGTGGAGTGGGGATGTGTGAGATCAAAATGGACATAGTTTGTAAGCTGACAGACAAGGCAGGCGTAAGTGTATGTGTGTGTGTACGTGTGTGTATGTATGTGTGTGTATGTATGTATGTGTGTGTGCATGTATGTATGCCATTGTAATGATGGCAAAACAGTCTCCATGGGTTGTATGTACTTTTCTGCAACAGCATGGAGATGTGGGCATTGGCCTCACTCCTCCTCACCCCCAAAACTGATGAAGGACACAGTGACCCCCAGTGTATGGGTCCAGGACCTGGCCTGAGGTTGCCACCTAGGAGTTGAACTTGGACCATCTGACTCTGGCCTGCCCTGTGAGCTCAAGGCAGAGAGAACAAGCAGGCAGAGGGTCCAGGCTGTGCTGTGTCCTAACAGATAGGGAGTTGGGTCCTAGAGAGCCCAGAAACCAGCCGGGCTCTCCATTCAGAGTCCACCCACGAGAGGCCTTCCAGAAACTGGGACAGTGGCCATTCTCAAGGTATTCAAAAGATGCATCCAGTCTGTCAAAACATCCCAAAGCCACAACATGGGAGGAGGTTCTACAGGAGACCAAGTTCTTTTCCGGCAGAGGCTTGTGTGGGTGGAGGCATCCCCCTGCCCCCACCTCTGGGAACTCTATTCTCCCACCACTAGGGTGTTTCTCATGACATTTAACAGAACATACACCTGGGAGAATTCTGGTGGCAAAGAAGTCGCTTGTTGGTCATTTGCGGGGGTGGTGGGTGGTGTCAGGGGAGTGTTTCCCTCATTTAGGGACCAATTCTGGCCCCGCTGTTAGCATCTGAATCGGGCAGCCCGGTTGTTTTGATTGAGTAGAGAGGGCAAGCCTTTGTTGTTGCAATTTAAGGAGTAAGTTGCTCTCTGGTCCCCTTTAATCAGCTGGAAGGGGGGGAAATGGCAATGGCTGCCTGTCTGGGCTGAGAATGCAACAAGGCCCACCTCTAAAGTTCCTTCCGTGGGAGCCCCAGCCCCACAGCACTGGGCATCACGGCCCTGCCCACTGCTGTCCTTTCCCGCAGAATTTCTTTCAGCCCCTTCAGAACATTCTCTTTGTCTGGATGAAGCCAATTCATGTAGTGATAGAAACACAGCAGGTCCAGGTGGTAGAGCCGGCCACACACAAGGGCCAAGGACAGGCCGTCACTTCAGGGACCACTGCGCAGAGGGTGAAAGGCCCCTTCAAGGGCGTTGAACTGTATGTACAGCCTTTAGCAGTATTTAATTTACACAACCTGGCAGGGTAAATTACTTTTATTTCTTTAGTAAGTAGCAAAAGCTTCAAGTTTTAGGGTAAAAAGACAGAAGGCTAAGCTTTAAAAAAATCCTCCATTTTCTCCCTTTTATCTGAAACGTTTCTGAGACAGGGTTTCTCTGTGGATTCCTGTCTACTCACGCTGTAGACCAGGCTGGCCCGGAACTCAGAGACCCGCCTGCCTCTGCCTCCAGAGTGCTGGGATCAAAGGCGTGCACCACCGTTGAACACACGGTGGCATAAAGACCGGTGGTTCCCAAAAATGGAGGTGACTCGGGTACCCCGCTGAGGGAAAACCTTGTAGGAAGCTGCTGTCTGTGGTGCGCACAGCTTACTTTGTAGAAGATCTGTTCTGTCCCTGGGCCTGCCTCCAGGAAATCACTCTGCTCTTCCTCCCTGGTCTGCTCCCCAGGAAACAGGAGATGGCCACCCTCCGAGACCGGCTTCAGCCACACCTCTCTAGGAGGCCTTGTGTGAGAGCCTTCTCTCACCCACCCCTGGCTCACACTGGAGCATGCAACCCTTCCTCGAGTAGCATTCTCCAGCTGTTGGGGTTCCCTCAGAGACTCAAAGGAACCACCCAGGGTCCTAATTAGGGAACATCCTCCCACAGGCCGGCTTCTCCAGGGAAAGCAGTTTGTCAAACAGCTGTTTGGGCCGATAAAAACTGTTTGCTGTGTCCTGCCCACAAAGACAAACGTCACCTGCCCTGTCCTAGTGCAGCAGAATCCAGCCCAGACTGGTTTGCCTTTGCTCCCTGGTGACCCCCAGCTGTTGTGTGAACTCAGCTGAGTCCCTTGGGTGTGGGTGGCCCACTCCTTTGCCTCAGACGAAGCATCCACAGGGCCTTATTTATCACCTCACTCCTCACTCAGGGAACACAGTGTGGTTGTTTATTGGTTCTGGAGCCTATGACCTCAAACACAGCCCCAGGGCCTGGCAGAGGGACAGACAGGCCATTAAACTCAGCACTCTAGAGGCAGAAACAGGCAGAGCTCTGTGAGTTTGAGGCCAGCCTGGTCTACATAGCTAGTGCCAGGCCAGCTTATAAGACCTGTTGTGAGAACCAGTAAGAGCCCCCAGGGAGACTGTTAATTGAGGGATGATCCTGAGGCTACGCAATGATGTCATTTATACTTTAACCTGGGACAGGGCCACAGTTTATTCACAGTCTACTGTTTTGGGGGGTAACTGAAGATATTAAGGAAATTTCCTACCATGCATGTGTGTACACACATATGTGTGCTCAACACGCATGTGTTTACACTCACACACCTACATATACACACATGCATACACTCATGCACACATACATACACACAGGCATACACATGCACATACTCATACACACATATATACACACATGCACACACACTCATACATGCACACATATACACACATACACACACTCATACTCACATGCATACACATGCACATGCGCACGTGCACAGAGACACACAGTGTCCCAAGCACCTGTGCTCAGCACACAGGTGAGGTCCATCGAGTGCTCGGTGCACCTTCATGATGAAAAGTGTATGCAGGGCACACGTAAGTGTGAGCATCTTCATGAGGGCCGTCAGCCCTCAACACTAGCTGCAGAGCCGAAACGAGGCTCAGGGAAGCTAGTAGGCTCACTCAAGAATACAGTAAACCAGCCTTCAGAGGGCACCGTCCCAGAAGCCTGTTCCAGGAGACTTCCCTCCAGCACAGTGAGCTCCTTCAGCTACAGGCTCTCTGGGAGCAGGCCCATTTCTAGGCCAAGCTTTATTTTGTACACATGGTAAGAGTCTCCTCTGAAAGTCATACCACTTGTCTGGCCTAACCGCACTGTGTGTGAGCTGTCCCGTCCCTGTGGCCTCCTGCAGGATGACCCAGCTGAAGGTGTCCAGCGTGAGGACACGGAGGGCCTGTGGCTGCAGCCTTGTGTACTCAAAGGGTGCCGGGCCTGACAGCTTCTTCTGTGTTTGCTTTTCTCTGTTTGGTGCCATCCGGGCAGACTGCTGGAGAGAGACGGCCGCTTTGCAGACCTGCTCGCCGAGCACAGGGCTAGAAGCCTGGTCAGTGTCTTGTGGGCCCAGAGACAGCACCAAAGGCATTTTGTCTTGCTGGGATGTAGACTTGGGAGGTGCAGAGGGACCTGGGAAGGAATGTGCACCGTCTCCTGGCTGCAAGATCCAGTCCATTCTAATTGAACTGGGGTTCAAATTGGGACCTTAGGTGGTGGTGGCCAGGGACAGAAAGGTGAAGTAAAGTCTTCAGTCTGGGGCTGGAGAGATAGCTGAGTTAGCCAAGTGTTTGCCTAGCCTGCAGGAAACCTTGAGCTCCAACTCCAGCATCACATACACAGGCCATGGTGGCACATACCTGTAATCTTAGCACTTGAGAGGTTGGGGCAGGAAAACGGAGAGGTCCGAGTCGTCCCTTGCTAGGCAGTGAGTTTGAGGCCAGCCTGGGCTACCTGAGGACTCTGTCTCAAAAGAAAACTACCGTCCAACTTAAAAGCAGGACAAAGCCCAAATCACCCCACCTTCCTCTGCTCCTTCCCTCGTGACACTGGGTATGAGGCAGTGACCGGAGGAACGGTGACAGAGCAGGCCTGCAGGGGGACCCCAGTGGTAGTTCCGGGTGCCAAGGGAGGATTTTCTAAGGTGGCACAGTTTGGGCAGTGACATTTAAATTTAAAATATGAGTAGATACCTTCATTCTCATTGATCTCTGCCCCCGATTCTGATCTATAACTCATTTCACAAAATGACAATGACAATGTTACTTCCTTCCCAAGCTGGATTACATGGTCCCAAGCAGACACACACAGGCAGATGCTCCACCCGGAGAAATGAGGGTGGAGGACCCCCCGGTCCCTGGCCAGCAACTTCAAGCACCACCTGCTCTCCGATTCCTCAAGCCCCACAGCCCAGAAAGTCCGCAGAGAGGTTCCCGCTTGAAGACAGGAAGACAGCAAGTGACCCTGTGTGGCATGTGAGTTATCAAAGCCCTGAGGACAGGGCCAGTGAGATGGCTCCGCGGGCAGAGAGGGGCTGGTTGCCGAGCTTGGCCACCTGAGATCTCTGGGGCCCACGCAGTGGAAGAAGAGAACCAGGTCCTACACGTTTCCCTCTGACTTCCACATATATGGGTGCGCGCGCGCGTGCGCGCACACACACACACACACACACACACACACACACACTAAATGTGAGCAAATAATAGGTTAGAAGCAACTCGCCCAAAGCAAACAAGTAAACAACAGAACTATACCGTGGCGTTGGAAGACTTTGGCAGTGGAAGGGTGAAAACAGAGAAGTAATTGGGATTTCACCCCCAGGATCCCCCTTGGGTCTCAGCCAATCCCAGTCCACTTTCTTCACAGTCCTTCCTAAGGCCCCTGGGTGGAGCAGGTGTCTACCTCTGCTCCCTTCAAACTCCATCATCCCCCGAGTCAGAGGGTGCTGAGCTCCCGTGGGACACGCTTGTGGATTTCTTTTAGTTAGTTTTATTTTATTTAAAATATTTTTAAATGCTGGAGGTTGAACCTAGGCTCTTGTGCATGTCAGACAAACGCTGTACCATGGGGGCTCTACCCCAAGCCTACAGATTATCTTTTGTATGGGCTCCTTACTCCCTGCTCCCCACTGTGAGACTTGGTGACATGGTGGGTACTGCGTATTGACACAGGTGGGCCCAGCTACGCTCCCTTCCCTGACCTCAGTGGAGCTCAGAGTGTTTCATCATCTTGTACACGATGTAACCCTGTACACGATGGCACCTGCTTCTTGGGCTGCTGCTGGACTCAGCCGAGTGACGTGAGCAGGGTACTCTCTGTCACATTTCTCCGGGGCACCAGCTCTTGGGATGTCCTGTCCATTTATGATCATCTAGTCCATACCCACTGCCTCACTCCCCTGACAATATAGAGGGAAATGGAAGGCTGCTGTTAGCCGGTCCTCGATGGTCACGCTGGGTTAGATCTTCCTAGGTGTGGACACTTGCATAAGACAGCAAATCACACAGAGCTTCAGGCTTAGGGCTATTCATTGAGTGAACGCTGTCTGACCAATGCTTCTTGTGGTGGTGAGCCTGTCTCTAACAAGAAGTCCAGTCTCCACCCAGCCCCTGATGCCCTCTGATGCCCTCTGACGCCTGTGATGCTGTGGACAGCTATTATTCCTTTAAAACGGCGGCGGGGCGGCGTGGGTGTGTGGACAAACACAGGATAGGCGGACGCAAAGGAAGAGACAGACACGCAGCTCCCACGTGGGTGCGTTTAATGGGGAGAGGGGAACACGATAAGGGCGGGGCGTGCAAGACACACAAGGGGGGAAGGGAGCAAGAGAGCGAAACCTCGTGGAGCGCTCGCTTTTAACTGCGGGCGCAAGGTTATCTGGGAGTGATGGTCTTCACCTGGGCGCG